GAACTGATCGATACGCACTGTGCATCCACTTATATAGCTGCAGTGCTTGCCTGTGGCGTAATGAGTGCCACGTCACAGTAGGACGTTGATTACGGTTACGTTAGCGTTGCGCGTTACGTCACCGCGTGACGTCACCGCGGAGGGGAGTGGCGGGGAGCGCTACGTTACCGTGGAGAGGAGGGTGGAGGGGGGTTCTCAGTCGCGCAACATGTTACAATATGTTTAAAACTGTACCATCAGCAGCCAACTTTGTTACGATTATCAATTAATGACAAAAATTATATGTGCAACTGTATGAAATAAGAAACTTACAGGTTATAGATTATGTTAAAGTTCTGGTTCAAAGTCTGTGACGGTAGAAGTGAATTTATGATAGGTTTGTCTGGATCTAAGAGAAGATGGAGTTGTATAATGAGAAGCTTCATAATTTGTACTCATTACAAAATATTAATAGTCACATCAAGTCAAGGATGGTGAGATAAGCGAAATATGTTGCATGCATGGTGAGATAAAAAATACATATATTATTTTAGTGTGAAAACCTGAAAATAGGAGACCACTTGGGGGACCTAGGCATAGGTACAAGGATATATTAAAATGGATCTACATAGGGTGTGAGGGTGTAAATCAGATTAAGCTGGCTTAGAACAGGATCCAGCAGTGAGCTCCTGTGAACACGACACTGCAGCTTCTTGACCAGATGAATAATTATCAGCCTCTCAAGAAGATGCTCCATGGAGTAAGTTAGTTTGTTGGTTACATGTTAGTTTGGTTCGCTGTGAACTCACCATCTGAGAAGAAATATCCTTCCTGGAAAGTCAAATTCCCCATAGTATATGCAATAGTAATGGGCGCTGTAAAGAGGTAAAAAACAAAACAAAATTACAGCAAACTGACCAAGGCATTTGGAGGGTGAACGAATACTATTCTGTTAGTATTAAAAACACAGTAAGTGCTGGGAAACATACCTGACAGAATTTCTGCTCAACCAGTAATACATTATTCAAGCAACAACTTTGCTTTAGAATTCCCATTAGGAAAGTCCAAGGAAATCAGGAGGGACTGAAATTTAATGGAATGATGATGTTAGTACATACAGCGTAACCTGAAGTCGTATGACCGAACTTTAGAAGGTGGCTGAGGACTCCTCAGTGAGGAGATAAATTGGAGGAGAAAATATATATAAACTGTTGTCCAATTCACCACTGTTTGAGAATTACAGTACTTCAAACTTTCAGTCTGATTTCTTTTGTGTGTTCATATGGTGGAACCTTTGTAATATCAAACAATGGAGCTCTTACTACATTTATATATGGCACATTTTACTTCTGACAGCAAAGCACTGACAACAATGAAACAAAATCCTATGATGTAATATCTTCTCTCTATCAGAAGGCAACATATCTTTCATGAACAATTCAGAACACTTCAGCAATAAGATTAAAAACCTGAATTAGAACAAACTGACATTATGGTAGTTTTGACACTGTAAGCTTGTTTACAAATGTCCCACCTGATGGAGCACTATCCATAGTAAAATAGGTCCTGGATGTAAATGAAGACTTCAATGGATGATCATTGCTTTGTACGGATGCGATAATTGAACTGTCTGATGTAAAGCAACAGTAAAAACAACCAACAATGGGGGCAGGCCAATGAATCACCTATGACTTCTGTTACGTAAATCACACGTTATGTACACTGTTGCAAAGGCATTACCTACTGCAACTACTGTATGTACCACACTTGACACAACTTTGGATTCCTGTACACCAAAAATCTGGTTCTAGTTAAGTATTAAAAATATGGTATACTCTGAAGATTTGAATTCATTCTGCAAGATGTGATCCTATACAGTGATTTATTGTAATCATCAGTGATCATACAGGGCCGCTTACTGCATAAATCAATGTTTCATTAAACTGTATGGCAGAATCCAATATATCTCAAACAACTTTTGTAAATGTAGTAGAGTGCAAGTATCTGAAAATGACAGTAACAAACAAAAAACTATGTTCTCAAAGCAGAGAGCTGATTAAATTTTGGAAATAATTATTAGCATACAGTTTAGATTCTACACCCCATACCTAAAACAGATTAAAATAAAAAAACTATAATTTTATCCGCTGTTTAGAGGGGTGTGTAACTTGGTCTCTCACTCTATGGAAGAACGTAAATGGAGGGTGATCAAGAACAAGTGCTAAGCAGCATATCTCAACATGACAGAGAATAAATAACAGGAGCATAGCATACATAGCATGCACATACCCAAATTGTACAACGAGAATGAATAAAATTCCTCTGCCAGGAATTGCTAGCCTCCTCAAATTCACTGCCAATTATCATTGTACACAACGTACTGAAATTTAATCTTCGGCCATACACCTAATGAAGTGAATGCACTAAACTTAAGTATCATGAAACATAATGGGGAAGTGGTTACCACTCACTTCTTTGAAGCTATGGTGACTTTCATTCAAAATCAATCTTGAATTTAATGCTACATAACTAACATGACAGAAAACGTACCCTTAAATAAACAAAAAATCAATAAAAATTAGCTGTACCTTGTACATAATATGCATACATAGTGTAAAAGCGCATCTGAGTGAATATATCAGACTATAAAAGGCCTGATTATGACACTGGAAGTAAAACAAATTAGGCACACACACAGCTAAACAGCATGCCAGACTTCATACAGGCCTGGAAATGAGATTGGTGTAAAAATGCAAAATTACATAAATAAGGATCGTATGTTAAATGGAGATAGCCATACATCAGGTTGTACATGACCTGATGGTCAAACTGGAGGTAAAACAGCAAGATTTTACAAAGATTACACGTTAAAATTTTAACATTTCAGGCTGTAGAGGGGAAAGAGCTTTCGAATTAACTGGTCTGACATATGCATGTACACCAGGGCAGAACAAAATTAAATAGCTTGGCTATGTGTTTATCTATGTATTTGCATATGGAAAGGGTAAATGCAGCTGTATACAATAAAACAAAACTGCCAAATTCTTTGTGCAGGAAGAATGCTTTCTGTTAGTCTACATGTTCATAAAATAGAAAAGTATCAATAACAAAGTTTTAATATCTGAATAATAACTGTTTTCTTCACATATCAAATATGAGGTTCTCATGGAGGTGAATATTATGATTATACTTCTGGGATGTGACATTGTCTACTTTAATAGGCATGCACCAATGATTTAGAAAACCATATCTATCAAATTACATGGTAACACATCTTTGAAGGGAGTAATCTTAATATGACCTTCATAATTACTAACATTTTTAAGCCATACTGCATTAACTTGAGAGCCAGACAAGGAGCGACTCACCTTCATGTACCGTTAGGAAAGCCCCAACACCATGACCAGTTGCATGGAGATAATTTAACCCAGCCTCCCACAATGGGCCACGGGCCAGAACATCGATACTATTCATTGGAACATCAAAAGGAAACACAAGTGATGCCAGCTGGATGGAACCCATCAAAACACGTGTGTATGCTTCACGTTCAAAATCTGTTGGTGTTCCTAGGTGAATAGTACGTGTCACATCTGTTGTACCATCTGGAAAAGAAAACTGTTTTCTTCCATTCTGTTAGATTCAGAAAGTATATGTGATGTGTTATCTATTAAGTTTCACCTCTGTTCCAGTCTTAAATGTTACTATGAACTTTCAAGATAAAATGTAACTATAGTAGCATGGCCATTGCTCATTTTTGATATAAAGGATAGGAAGGTAGTTGGGTCAGGCCTCCAACACCCAAATCCCTCTCTTTTTTGGTATGTCCACTTCCATTAGGCCCTTATGTTATATCTCAATACTTTCTAACATGTGAATAACATTTTGTTGTTCCTGGAATAAGATGCTCTTAATGACAAAGACATACACCCTTCAGTTCTATATTACATTTAATTGACAATAAATTACAGTCACCAGAAGATATGACTCCACCCTGCGGTGTCTCATTAAACTGCTTTGCCCTATCAACTGCTCTAATACCAACCTTCTGTTCTATTTTCTGTGATGTCTTTTACTCAACTTCTGATATACTTTTTTCGATAACACGCAGAAGCTGCTATAATTAGCCACAGGTAATGGGGCTCCATGTCTGCAGGTTCAGGCAGATGTCTCAATCTATAATTTGTATAATTCCCCAGAACTCCATAATTCTAAACAGCAGGTAGTTTTAGGCTATAACATTAAGAATTATTTTTCTTTCTTTTATCTTTCTAAATAAATTGAGTAAGAAAACCTGGTGGGAAAAGATCACTTAACTGATCTAGGCATAGATGGGAGTATCATATTAAAAAGTAACTTAAAGAAATAGGATTGGGCTAGTGGTGTGCTCCTGAGAACACAATAATGAACATTCAGGTTCCAGAAGTTGGACAATTTCTTGATCAAGGGAGGGAAGAACATCTTCTGCTCTATGCAGTCAGTTTCAGCATTACCGATGATATAAATATAGGTACAATGCAGATGCAAATATGCATGTAAAATAAAATTCTAATTCTTTCTGAATGTTATTACTTTTGGTTTGTGTATTACCATACATACCTTCTTTAATTTATCACTGACCTACCACTATGCTGGAATAAATATAATATGACTACGCTTAAAAAAGTTAGCTATAAATAATAATTATCATGACTGCTGGAGCATTTAGGCTGTTTATATAGTGGTATGTAAATTACAATGAAATCTAGCACAAGAAAATAGTTCAAGTGAGAAATGTATCATTGCAGTCATTTTTACCTAAATAATGTCCACCAGAATCCAAGACCAATGTGCTGCTACCATCAATTTTGAGCAAGTTGCTACTCTCAAATGGTGAGTAGTGAGGAGATGCTCCATTGGGACCAAAGCCTGCTATTGTAGGGAAACTGGGACCTCTTGAAAGATTTTGTTCTCGGCGAAACTGGTCTACCTCCTGTGCAACTTGTAGCTCATTCCATTCTTTGCCTGCAGCTATCTGAATAAATCAATAAATACCAAGATAAAAAAAATTCTAGGCAAGAAAAACGAAAAAATTCTTGGATTCATATTACAAACTAAAGTCACTGCAGGGCTTAACTCTCTGAAGCATGACCAAGTGCAATGCAAGCCTAAGAGCGGCTGTCACCCACGGTGACAAGAAGTTTAAGTTTTCAAAACTGTCTGACTTGACCCCACATTGGATTGATTTTTGATTCTCTGAATATTAGGATGTGCCCCCTTTAAGATCTACTTATATGAACACATAACAAATCACCAAAACCAATATCAATTTGTTAGGAATTTTCAGTATGTTAGGTTTGTCATACTGACCCTGACACCATAGAGAAATATGAGTGCTATAATAGTGATGTTGAGCCTAATAGAAGATCAGAAGAAGCTAGGTTAGGTTCTCTCTGTTAATTCAGTATCATTTTTCATCGGTTCATTTAATGACATTTTAAACTGCTCAGATTATATAGTGTCAAATTATAAGAAGACAGTGAACAAATTGGAAAGGATGCAAAGGAAATGACTGTGGCCTAATTTAAGGTATTATCCAGGCATTTGGGTGAGGGACCAAGCAAAATCACGAAAAAAAAAACCAGGATAGCCAATGTGCATGCTGATATTTGAATCTGGGACTTCCTGAACATAATTTGAAGTGCTAACCACTTCAGTGTAGCATGAGTATGAGTATGAGGGGTGAGCCATAAAAACTGGCCCTTGCACTGTGACCTCAATGACCTATTGTGCTTCCCTTTTGGATTAACCATTTATTAATCCTACACTTCGAATGAAATGTAGGACTTCATTTATGGAGGCATCATAAAAGTCACTCGGTTCCATGAAGAATTGACCCAGGTGACAATATCTTAGGTAAGCTACAGCCTCACAATCACATAAGATGTGTATGGCTGATTCATCTTCTTGTAGGCATCTTTCAAAAGTTGGGTTGTCTGTCAGTCCCAGTCTGAAAAGGTGCCCTTTTAGGTGGCAGTGTCCAGTAAGTAATCCTACCACCTATCTTAGCTGATCTCTGTTTAATTTTAACAAGTCCCTCGTTCTCTTGGCATAGGGTCCTGATATAAAACCTTTTGCCTGTTTGAGTCCAGTTGTGGATTCCCAGTGTTTTTTGTGATTTCTGTTAGTCCAGTCCCTTCAGTGTAGCATGCAGCCTCTTTGAATATTTAAAAATATTTCCTTTTGATACCATACTTAGTTGTGCCAGGGTTAGATGCAAAACTGCTACTTGTGAAATTTTGACTGTTATGTGTACGAGGGTCTCTTCATTCTATTTCCCTTCCTCCCTTCTACTGTTCTTCAAGATTTTCAAAATCAATATTTAGCTTTAACAGAAAGACTGTTTCATGAGGAGTTTAAAATTTGTTACCAGCATTTTGAGTTATAAATGTATTAACACAATTTAAATATTTTCCATTAAATTTTAAACTCCACTCAAAATATAAACCTAGATAAGGCCTGGGTTCACTGAAACTGCAGAGAAAGAGCAAAAATACTTGCATGGAAAGCATGGAGTGACAGGTTTAAAAGTAAAGCATTGCAGCACATACAAATTACTCAGTTAGTAAGAAAATGCCAATTCTACAATCAAGTTTTCCATAAATAAAATAAATCGCCATTATGTAATGAAATTGATGCTTGAAATTATGAGATATCATATATATTTCATGAATTATAACTATGCAAATATTAATCTTCTACAAGCATTTTTAATAATCTTCATACAATGTAAATAGTAACAAGAACTTTAACCTCTTAACTGACACAAGTTAGTGCGCTGCAATGAACAAACAGTTAATTATTTCAACAAATTCAGTTCTAAAAACAAAAGAATATGATAGCACACATCATTTATATTTTATACCACTTCATCACTATACAGTAATACGTCTTGTATAGTTATATTGTAGATTAGACTGCATCTGGTTGTCTACTGACCAAACAGCAGAGGACAACAACCATTTTACCATGACATCTCATATGGTTCCCTACTAACCCCCACCACACACACACACACATCATAGGTTGTGAGTTTCTTCAGCAAACTGAACGTGGACTGAACAAATTGTACTTAAGATTCTGGACAAGATTGCAGCACCATCTGCTAGTATGGTGCTCTATTACTATTATGCAAAAGAAGTGCTACCCTTTTTCCCATCTACACAAATATCTTAATGTCTTTGGTTTGAACTCATATAAGATTTGATCATTACCTTGAAATGAATTCATTTTATTTAAAATGTAATCTGGTGACGAAAATGAGAGGTGATACTTTAATCTATGATCTCACAGTTCATCGCTTCAGGAAACCAAAATTAATAACAGACTTCAGTGGACTGAAGGTTCAATATATATTCGTGTTTTGTAGCAACATAAGGCAGTAAATAAATGTGACAGGATCATACTCACTGCTTCTTCTAAGTAGGCAAGAAAGTCACAAAGAGCTACTGCATCTCGGATGTGCGCTTCTCTCATGCCACCTATTTCAATGCGATTCTTTCGTGCTTTCATGAATATGATGGGAGATGGTATAGCCAATTGCTTCTTTGGAGGAATCTGCACACAAAATCTGCACCATGGGTTAATACTGCTGAGAGATGTAGACAAGTTCCCACAATATTCCTATCACACTCTTCAACACCAAACACATATCTATTAAATATATATAATCTTAATATGCCCATAAGTCATAAGTTCAATATGCTACTCAGTACTTCAAGCACTTCTAAAACTGTTAGAAATATACCTATTATTATACATTCACCATTAAGCACAGAAAAGTCCCACCAATTGTATAGAATTACATAAAGTAAAAATTTATGCATTCTCTAAACAAAGGACAAGCAGTGAATGCATACTTAGAACACCGTGTCTGTCCATCTATTTGCTCTTTTCTCTTCCTACACTGCCACTTGGATTTTAAGTAAGTTCATAATTGGAAGATTACACTAAAAGTTTTCATTATGTGAATTTAATTTTGGCTGAACTTAGCAGCTCCTCCCCTCTTTACCTTTACAGTTTGGGGAGATAGTAGCTGCATTTATCTCTGGTTACATCATTGTGTTCTCAGTGCTCCCCTGATGGAATGAGTTGTCTTGAGTTTTGAGCAATACCCAAGAAAAGAATCTATCTCCAAAACCAATATTTAATAACAGTTAATAGCAATAACAAATAATACAAAATAAAATAAGACTTAAACCATTACATTGGCATTTCAAATATGCATATGAATCTATGCCATTGACCATCTTGGTCAGCCAGACTGAAGCCCAACAAAAGAAAAATATACATTAGGTAGCCACACAGAGCTGTCTACCTACTGCAGACAGAAAATAACCACACTCATGTAACAGTGTGATACAGCCCAAATCACAGTGTTACTCCATTATCTATTCATACAACAACACTAAATGAGGTAGCAGAAACAGCATTTAGTGACCCACATTAATGACCACTCCGCTTGACCAATGGTCAGCAAAAGAATCCTGTTTAAGTTTTGTAACTCTGTCACATAAAATGGGGCAATACAAGCCCAACCACTTAAAAAAATAAAACCCCACCAAAACCCTTGCTGCGACACTCCTGACACACCTATTGCAAACAAGGTGGCTCCTTGTCCTCAATGTCTGGAAAGAGAATCCAAACAAAATTCCACCACCTACCTTGCCGACAGCTGGCAAACAAAAGGCCAACTTCCAACTTTTGCTACTTAGATGTGGGTTATATTTCTATACAACTGGAGGAAGAGGAAATCACGTGGTACATGGAATTATTTGGTAACAGCAAAGAGTGATGATATGTATGCCGGAGAGGGGGGGGGACATAAATGAGGGGAGGATACCAGACTGAAATAGGAAACTCATGAGCCATCCAAAAGTAAACATGGCTCAGAACCTCAACTATTCACCAGACTCCACAAGTCTGACTTTCTCAAAAATGGTTCCTAATACAAAGAAATGGATACATGATTGTAAGATCCACAACCCTTATACAGGGTGTCCCAGGAGGAATGTGCCAAACTTCGGGAGGGTGTTCCTTATGTTAAAGTATGCCGATATAACCCAAAACACCTATGTCCAAAGTTGAACGGTTACGGAGATAATGGCC